CCTTAGGGCGGGGCCAGGGCACAGGGGCGGGGCCTCAGAGCGGGGCTGGGGCAGGCGGGGGGCCTTAGGGTGGGGCCAGGGCACAAGGTGGGTCTGGGCCAACGAGGGCGAGTCCGGGATGGGCGCGGTCTCAGCCGGGCTGGGGCAGAAGGCGAGGTCTCAGTGGTGGGGCGTGGCCAGGGGCAGAAGGCGGCGAGGGGGTGAGGGGCGAGAGGGGGCTTCAGAGGGCGTGGCAGAAGGCGGGGCCTCAGGGGGCAGGGTCTCAAGGGCGTGGCCTCAAGGGCCTCAGAGGGCGGGGAGGGCGGGGGGCAGAGGGGGGACCTCTGGTCGAGTTTTGCAGCCGGGGGACTCCTCCTTTTCATCCATTCATTCAACCAACATTTATACAGCGCCTACGATGTCAGCGGCCTCTGGGTGGTGCCAATAGTTACCGCGCTCCACGGCTAACCAAAAAGTTGGAGGTTCAAGTTTACCTGGAGGTGCCTCGAAAGAAACGCCTGGTGACCTACTTCTGAAAACTCAGCCATTTTAAACCCTTATGCAGAAGGCCGAGTGCTGGGTGACAGACATGGAGTCACCACGAGTCGGAGTTGACTCGAAGGCAAACTGGTTTCCTGGTTACTTTGCCAGCTTTGTGCTGGACACTGGGGACACGGTGATTAATGAGGAAGGCCCTGAGGTGGGGAAAAGGGGGGGGGGTGAACAAATCCTTCTAGTAACCTTTACAGAGCTCTTGCTGGATGCAGCTGTGAAGAGGGCCAGGGAACCTTTCTCCTGGGCATCGAGGAGAGAGGTACCTGGGTGTGCAAAGGCCCTGAGGCTGCCAAGAGCCCACTGGTTTAGCAAGCTGAAAGAAGTCCCTTAAGGCTGGGACCAGTGCCGGACCTGGGCCCACAGACTACCGGCCTTGATCTGCATACCTCCCTTGCCAGGAACCTCGCCACTGCCCACAACCTCCCCAGGGCGCTAGGTGTTTTTGGGGAGGGGGAGGCAGTCACCTCACAGAAACAGGGCTTCTGTGAACCTCCCAGCACGTTTATGTAGAAGACAACCAGTTTACAGAAGAGGTGGGGAGAAGAGACAACTGGTTACGAGGAGCTTCCCCCTCGAGTCCAGCAGTGGACCAAGGACCTCCCCCCACCCAGTGCTGTGCACAGCTGGCATAGGTCTCAAGGGCTTGGCGTTTGTGACGTTAAATAAAAAGCACAAGCCTAAATGCCCTGACTCTCCCGCCCCCCACAAGCCGACACACTTCGTAAGTGAAGGTCTGATTAAGCCAAGGTTCTGGCACTGCCCGGCCAGGTTTGTAGAGCGGGTGGCAGCCCCCTGCCCCCCTTCCGTATTAGCTCCTTAGACCTCAGCGCACGCTCACTCTCCAGGTTTCCACGAGGGGCCACAAACACCAAGACCCTGCCCTGCATCCCTTAGCACAGCACCCCCTCCTGTAAGCGAGGCAGCCGCACTTACAAGGTGGCCCTCCACCCACTGAAGGGGCCAGGGAGTCTGACAGCCCCAGGCTTGGGTCTGGCCCAGTACGTGGGGACCCCATTAGGGCAGCGTGGCACCCAGGGTGCTGGAGGCTAACAGGATCTCACCTATCTCCCCCGTTACAGCGGGGGCTGGCCCTGGCCTTGGGGACAGTGACCCCCACAGGCACCGAGACTACCACCACAACTCAGGAACTCTTAAAATCCATACAAACGTTTATTCTGTCCCTGCCCGGGGAGGGGGGGGAGGGGACATTGGAGGGGACTGTGGGCTCTCCAGGTAGCCCCTGAAGGGGGAGGGCAGGGCTCTGGAAGACAGTGTCAAAGGCCGGTGGGCCCTGGGGGCTTGGGAAGGGCTGCCTGGGTTCTCAGAGGCCCCAGAAGCCCAGGTGGGCTGGGGGGAGAGGGGAGAGGTGCCCGCCTGGGCCCTGGAGACCCCGGAGGCTCCTTGCCTGCGTGAGAGCGTACACCCCAGCAGCAAGAGGCTTTCAGGGTGCAGTGTGGGCAGACCATTCCCGGGCCCCTGGCCTGCGTCTCACGCACACCCCACCCACCCCCAGGAGGGAAGGCCCGGGGGGCTGCTCCTCTGGGTGGGGTGACAACGACTG